ACATTATCCACATGTAATTTCATGTACTGATATTTAAGGGTTTGAGTACCCCTTGTACTCACAATAAAATTCATTTGCTTTTCAAAAAAAAAAAAAAATGAGAACTCTTTGAACAAAGTTGATTTAAACCCCCACCAAATCCTTGCTCGTATTTCTGTTATGACCCAAGAATACTCCTCTTCCATGAATCAACACTCATTGTTTTTCCCTTCCAGGTCACGAGCTGATGGAAAACAACAGCAATCCTCTTGGGTCAAACCTCCAAAAGGCATCCTCAAGGTTAATGTTGACGCCTCTTACTCATCCGAAATAGGATCTGCGGCTCTAGCCATGGTTGGTCGCAACTTTAAAGGTGAAATATGCTTTGGAAAAACCTGGCTCTCTATGGCGCTGTTACTGCTTTGAAAAAAGCCGCTCAACTTGTGGAAAGCATGGGCACTCAAAATTGTGTTCTTTGAATTTTAACAACCAAGCATTAATTTCATACCTCCAGCAAACTGACAAACCACCCCCATGGGAAATTCAGCCAATCATTTTGTCCATTAATTAGACAGATTTCTCACCGTCATCCGGACTTCTTGTTCTCCTTTATTTGATGAGAAGGTAACAGCGTTGCAAATTGGGTAGCCAAACAATCACTTAAAGGGAAATGCCCCTTCTTTTGGGCACATAGACCTCTTAATGTATTGCTCTCATTACTTGTAGAGGATGGTCTTTGTAAATAATGTATATTACTCTGAACTACTATATATAAATCTCCATTTCCTCCAAAAAAAAAAAAAACTCTATAAATACCCATTCAAAAATCAGATTTAGGATTTTTGGAGGAGACCAAGAGAGATGGTTAAGAGAAATTCAAAAACAAAAGAAAATCAAGATTTGAGATCTTATATTGTTATAATGGTTTTGCTTGTCCTTGAATTTTATTTTATGATATTGGATACCTATATATTTATTATGGGATTGCTTATTTTCTTTTCTTTAATTGTGAACTAATTTAGCCATCTAAGGCTACTATCTATCCTAGTCAATTCCATATAGAATTTTATAATTTTTATACTTTTAAGGTTTATTATTTTATATAGAATATATATTTTTATTCTTAATGCTTTTTAATGATTGACTCTCATTAAATTTGATTTGAAGAGTATAATTGAGACCAAAAGGAGATTTTATGCAATAATTTCTAGTAATATATACCATGAATTGAGCAAAAGTTAGAGATGGACCAACATAATTCATGGAGCATTAATGATAAGTATACTTAATTTTCTATGTAAACTAAAGAATTTTACAAATTATAATATATTTTTATCTATTTAAATTTACAAAAAGATATAATGGATTAATATAAGAAAATATGTTTAGTATAACTTGAGAAAGTATAAATAAAATAGGAAAATTTTTTGTTACATGAATAATAATTACCTTAAAAGTATATTAATATAAATTATATATTAATTGATTATGGTGAAATCAATGTTTTAGAATTTTAACTCTTTGTGTTACTCAAAGTCAATTTAGATTTTTTTTAATTATTTTATTTTAGTTATTTACTTTATTCAAATAATTTAATTTCAATTATTAAAATAAAATTAAAATTAATTAATTTTAATACTTAATTAATCAACCATCTTTGTAGAACGATACTTTATCTTTATCATTATATTGCTTGAATTAATTAATATTTTTACTATAGTGAATTTAGCCCACCGAAAGAAAGCACCGACGGGTAAATGCACCGCAGATCACTCTAAATAGGTGGAGTGTTTCTGAGGTACTGACAGTTCAATTGCGCGAGATCAATGACAAGCCGAGCCGCACTACTTTAAATACCTATGTGCTTATATATGACTTCCGATATGTACCAACGGGGAGTCACATTTTTGTTTTCTATATCTGCTAAATAAAATTTTGTTGATAAAATAGAGGGCTGGTGACATTTAATTTCTACCATATTATTAATATAAAATTTTGATCCTAATCTCCATGTCACAACTCTTCTTTTGAAGAAAATACGATTGTCGAAGAAAATAGAGGTGGGCGGCGAAAAAATGAAATGAGGTGAGTCTGCGGACTGTTGTTGGTTTGATGATTGAAGAAGACTAAACATCCTCTTCTTCTTAAGAGATACCACCACATATGAATTCTATTCTAGGAAAAGGAAAATGATTTAAGAGTTACCCTTTTTTATATTTTTATATTTTATATATTATTTAAATAATTAAGTTATTTATTTATTTATATCTTATAACATTTAATATATTA